CGGCCCCGCGGCGGGGGACGCTGCGCTGCCCGCTGCGGCTCCCGAAGTTGGAAGGGGTTACGTGGGCGGAGCCCGGGAGGGAGCCGGCGTTTGAGGTGCCGCCGGAGCCGGAGGCTGTTGAAGATTTTGAGGATGATGAGGTGACGGCGGCGGCGGGCTGGCACGAGCAGGACCGAGAGGCCGGGGACCCGCGGGGCGGCGGCGGCGGCGGCAGCGGCGGAGGGGGCGCGGCGGCGCCGAGGGAGGCGCCGCGGAGGGACACGACGGCGCACTTGTCGCCGGCGGCGCCCGTGCCTGGGGTGCAGCAGCAGCAGCAACAGCAGCAGCAGCAGCAAGCGGTTGCAAACGTAGCAGGTCAGGGCCAGAAAGGAGGCGAGCCAGCGCAAGCCCAGGCTCCCGCCGCCTCGCCAGCCGCCGCGTCGGTGGCGCACCATTTCCGCGCGGGCGGCGGCGCCGACCCATCCGCGGACGCGGCGCGGCGGCAGCAGCACGACCGCCTGCAGGGGGTGCTCAAGGGTCAGACCATGTTCCTGGCCCTGGTCTTGTGCGCCGCCGGCCTCGCCGCCGTCGGGGTGGTCTGGCGGGTGTCGCGCGGCAGGCGGGGCGGGCCCGCGGCCAGGGGCCGCAGGGGGGCGGCGTCGCCGCTTTGAGGAGTGAAACGGTGGCTTCCCCGTGCAGGCCTTTTGAAGCGGCGCACAAAGGCCAGGCGCGGCCACGAGACCGTTGCCTGGCTGCTTTTGCGCTGTCGCCGCACGGCTTGCGTCTGCGCAGCGCCTGCTTCTAGTCCTAGCAGCCGCGGGCGGAGGGGTCTGGCAGCACATGATGGCAGTTTGTATCATGCGCGCGCGGCCTACCAAGCAGCCTCCTGTTCCCGTGTAACGCCGTTGCATGTGGTCTTGAGAAGCCAATTTCAAAGCACCGCCCTGGCTGGTCAAAGGACCGCTCCAAGCTCAGCCGCTGCAGGCACAGGTGACAAGGGCTTGCAGCGATGTCAGCCTTTAGAGTAGGCCTGGCAGCGGTAGCTGACTAGCACCTGTTTGTCAACAATGGTTACTAAGACGTCAAGACACGCGGGACATGATGCGTGTGGCCATATCTTGGCATTGCTTTACACGACTTTGAACAAAAACGGAGGTAGATGGCATCCCTGCGCATACGTAGCTCTGCATAGACGAGAAAATACAGCAGGGCACTGTGCCAAACAAGTACAGGTGGACGTGGCGCATGCGTGCCGCCAAGTCGCAAAACAAACGCACGCAAACACACACACACACACACACACACACACACTCACAATCACAATCACACACACACACACTCTCTTGCAAAGAAAAAGGGTGCAATCATGCTCAACCACAAATTCCCAACACGGGGGCTTCTCCGCGTGCCACCAATCAGCCAGACGCGGCAGCCGCTTCCTTCCCGAGCCCGTAGCCCCATGACTGTGCAGTCAGACGCGCGCCGCCGCGCTCACGCCAGGACCGACAGGCTCGCCTCGGCCAGCCGCTGCCCGCCCGACCAAACCTCCACGCGCCCCTCCCCAAACCACCGCAGCTCCCACGGCCCCCCGCCCGCGCCCGCGCCGCCCCGCAGCTGCGGTACGGGCAAATAGCAGTACGGCAGGTGGCAGTACGGCGCGCGGCTCCCGATGTGCGCCAGGCGCTGCGTCCAGGTCGACTGAATCCGCCACACCACCACGCACGCGGCCGTCGCCAGCAGCGCCGCGAGGGACTCGCCGCTGGGGCTGAAGGCGAGCGCCGCGACGCCGCCGCGGAGGTCTGCGGCCGACAGGACGGGCGCCTCCGCCGCCGCCTGGGACGGATAGTAGGGTTTCGCCAGCCCGGCCTGCTGCTGCTGTTGCTGCTGCTGCTGCTGCTGCTGCTGCTGCTGTGGCTGCGGCTGGGGTGGCCGCTGCGGAGCTGGAGCCTCGGCGCCGCCGGGAAGGGCCCCTTGGTTGGCGCAGGCGCCGCCTTCGGCGCCGTCGGCGCCATCCTGCCCCGGCTCGACGCCGAACCAGTTCTGCAGCATCGCCGCGTGTGCGCGCTTGACCGTGCTTGACGAATGGAGGCTCCGCTCCGGGCCGGCCTCGGCTGCGCCGCCGCCGCCCGCCTCGCCGTCGCGCGTGGGGAGCGCCGGCGCGGGGCCGGCGGCCGGCGGCGGTGCGGACGACGCGGGCAGTAGCAGCACGACCCGCTTCGCGCCGCCGTTGACGTCAAACACTGCCACCGCCCGCGCGTGCTCCGGCGCGGCCTGCGGCTGCTGCCGCACCGCGGTGTGCCCCCGCCCGTCGCCGCCGCCAGCGCCCCCGCCGCCGCTGCCCGGGGGCAGCGCCCGCGCGCCAAGCGGCCCGAGCGCCCGCGCGCTGCCGACAGCCAGCTGCATGGAGGGCGCGTGGAAGGCGGCCTGCGGGAACCGAGCGGTCATCTCCCGAATCAGCCCGCCCGCCACGGCCAGGCACCCCTGCCGCAGCGCGGGCCGCGCCGGGTCGAGCGACTGGACGGCCAGGGCGGCCGCGAAGCCGAGGTGTGGCAGCAGCGCGGCGCAGGCCTGGGGCCAGCGGAGGGCACGCGAAAGGGAGGACAGCAGCAGCGCATGCGTGCAGGACGCGTCCAGGGCGCCGCCTGCAGCACAGATCGCGGGGTGTGTGGGTGGATTCAGGATCCTTTTCGTGGTCGCGGCTGGACGTGAGGGTGGGATCGCCGCGTCGGTTCGGGACCGACAGCTGAGCCGCCTGGGATGGGCGACCCCATGGACAACACACACCATATCGGTGTGTGGCGGTGTTCGCATCCCGCTAGACAACCCTCACTCGCGAATCATGTACAAGACAATGACCCCCACTGCGATTTCCTCAGATGGCACCCACCGGCCATGCCTTGGCTGAGTTCGTTGAGGAAGGCCTCGGGCTCCGCCAGCGCCAGGCCGGCCAGCAGCTCCGCGCAGCACCTCAGCCACGCGCCCAGCTGCGCGGGCCCCGCCCCCAGCAGCAGCGCCGCCGGCGGCCCCGCCGGCTGCTGCGGCGAAACTGCAGGGGCGGCGGCGTGGGCGGCGCCGGGCGGCGGGCTGGGAATGGTAGCGGCCGGGCTCCCGTCGGCGTGGTGCAGGGCGGCGCCTGCCAGGAAGCTGGGCTGAAGCTGCCACGCGGGTGACGCGGGTGACGCCCCTGGGTAGTCGTACCGGAGGTGGGTGGTGCTGGTGTGACGGACGGTGCTGCCCGGCGTGTGCTGCGTCGTGGGCACGGCCGACGACGCCGATTCACTCCCCTGCAGCTGCGGCGGCGGGGCGGGCGGCCCGGGCGGCGGCAGCGGGACCGGCTGGGGGCGCGGCCGCGCGCGCGCCGGCGGGCCCTCAGGGGGCGGCGCGCCGCCCATCAGGGCGGGCGCTAAGTACAGACCCCCGACGGCGTGCGCGCGCCGACCGGCGACGGCCAGGGGCCCGAGGGCCAGGCGCGGCGCGGGGTCGGCGGCGGCCCAGCTGCCCGGAACGCGCGGGGCGCCGTCGTCCCCTCCATCAAGGCTCTGCCGGGCGCCGGGCGCGCCGCCGGCGGGCCCGCGGGCGCCCAGCAGCTGCGGCGATGCTTGCAGTAGGGACAGGCGTCCATTGACGGCGTCCGCGATGCGGCAGAGGCTGCGTGTCGGCAGAATGCGCGGGATAGTTTGCCACGAGATAGTATCCATGGGTTGCGGCACACAGCCAGACACGTTTTGCATGTGCGGGGGCAATGCGACAGGATGTATGTTGCATCACCCCTGACACAAGTGGGTCTGTTTTGCAGGTTCATGAAGGTGAATTCATCAGCCCCCCGCCACCCCCCCCCCCGGGTCCCCGTCCCCAGTCCATCGGCCCAGCAGCAATCGCGGAGGGAGGGCCTGGCGCGATTTGGCGCAAATTGACGCACCTCTGCAGCAGCGGCGCGGCGCCGCCGACGTGCGGGCGCCACGCGCCCCACTGGCCGCTCAGCAGCGCCAGTTCCAGCAGCTCTCCCGCCATGCAGCTATCCTCGGACGGCGCCAGCCGCACGAGGCAGCCGACGAGGCAGACCCCTACCGCGGCCAGCAGCGCCGGAGGCGCGGCCGCCGCGTGCGGGACCGCCGCGCCCGCCGCGGCGACGACGTACGGGCGCCAGCGGCGCAGCTGCTGCGGCGTCAGGGGGGCGGGGCCGCCGAGCTGCGCATAGTGTGCCCGGACGAGCGAAACGAGCTCCGTCGCGGCCGGCGGCGGCCACGCGCGCAGCGGGCAGGCGCCCCCTGCAGGCCCGCCGCCTTTGAGGCGCCACGGCGCCGTCGGCTGCAGCAGCGACGCCAGGAGCGCCTGCGCCGCGTTGTGGAGTTGCGGCGGGCCCTGGGTCGGCGCCCCCCAGTAGCTGGCCAGGAGCAGGACGTCGGGCAGCTGCGCGGAAGCTGCCTGGCGCAGCTCCTGCCACTGCAGCGCGTAGAGCGTCGCGAGCGCGCTCGCGGCGTTGGCGGCGGCGACGCCAGAGTGGGTGGCGGGGTTGGACAGGATGGCCTTGGATGCGGCCACGAGGGATAGGAGCCTGTGAGTGGACGGCAGCAGGCCGGCTTGTTTAAATGGGTGAGGCGGCGAGAGGGGAGGGGACGCGCTCACCGCAATCGTGTGTGATCTTCAAGAACTGGCGCTGCTTGGCGGCCTGGCGGTGGTGCCGTTGGCTCGGGCCCGGGTTCGAACCCTGTCGTGAGCACCCACCTGACAGCCAGCACGCTTGGATTTGACAGAAACAGCGCCCCCAGCCGCTCGGCGCTGCCGCCGCCGCCGTTCGCGTCGCCGCCCGTGCGTGTCTCCTGCCCCGCCTGCCGCCGCACGCGGTACGGGAGGCTTGCCGTGAGGGCCCCTTCCTCCGAAACGCACGCCTCCTGGCACAGCGCGACGCCAAAGCGCCACCCCTGTGGTCCACGCCGCGCGGCCGCTTCCTCCAGTCTCGCCGCAAGGTCGCCGACGGAAGCCAGGCGGTCGGCGCGCGACGCCCCATCCCCCTGCTGCCGCGCCCTCGCCGCCTCCGCCCGCGACGGCGCGCTGCTCGCCGCGGGGGACGCGTCGGGAGGCTGCAAGGCCGCCCCAGCACCGCTGCCGCTGCCGTGTGGCGGACTGGCTCTCAGCAGGCCGACCTCCCGCAGGAAGGCGGCAGTCCAACAGTCCGCGGCGCAGTCCAGGCCCCACCGGTGCATCAGCGCCAGCGCCAGCGCCGCCTCCCTCAGGCGCGCCAGCTCAGCGCGCGCCTGCGCCTTCACGCCCCCGCCCCCGCCACCGCCGTGGCCGTGCGTATGCATGGGGTGGCCGGCTGGGTGGTGCCCCGTGCCGCCGCCGTCGTGGCTGGGCGGCGCTTCGGACGGCGCGCCGCCGTCGTCCGCCGCAGTGAGCACCGACGCCAGGCTACTCTGCCGGCTGATATACATGGCCGGGGCCGTGGCCGCGGCCGGCGCGTCGCCGCCGGGGCGAATGCTGCCGGCCGGGGCCGGCGGCGGGGCCGGCGGGGCGGTGATGGCGGTGATGGCGGCGATGGATTGCAGCAGCAGGCTGATGTTGATGTCTAACAGCAGTACCGACGGATCCGCCTGCTGCACCTGCCGAATCGCGCCGCCGGCGCGCTCCACCCGCCGCAGCCGCGCGGGGAACACGCCGCCCGTCGCGGCTGCCGCCGCCGCGGCGGCGCGCCCTGTGTCGCTGGATGCCGCGGGCGCCGCGTCGCCGCCGCCGCCCTGCTCGTGCTCGAGCCGCTGCTGGTGGTGCAGGCTGCTGCTGGCCTCGTTCGAAAGCTGCGCCATCAGCATGTGCGCCTGCGCGCCGCTGCAGCGGCGGTCGGTCTGGCCGGTGTACGCGTCCCAGGCCTGCAGGTGCAGCTGCCCCGATTCATCCACCGCGCTCGCCGCGAGGACACCCCTGCGGTTCGAGGGAAAGTCGCCGCGGGCGGCGCGAAGTCAAACGGTCAAACCTCACGGCATCCCCGGCTGCTGCATCCAGCCTGGCTTCGGAGCAGCCCACTTGGTGCTCAGCTGAAGGGTAAGTCGTTGCAGGTGCACAGTCAAACGCGGCGAGCCGGCTTTTCAAACAACATAGCCAAGACAGAGCTCCTTGCGTTTGAGGTGGAGCGCACGCTGCAGCACGTTGGGCCGCGCGGCCCCCAGAAATGGGCGCGGCCGCGCACCTGTTGACGCTCCACGCGACCTGCGAGGGGCAGCCGTGGGCAAACCCCGAGAACGTGCGCAGGCACTGGCCCAGCGCGAGGCAGGAGAGCGCCAGGGCCCCATCATCGGCGAGGCTCAGGACGCATGAGCTCCAGGGCAGCCGCGCGTGGACGGGGGGCAGGATGATCGCGCGCACGGGGGCTGCGGGGCGGGGCAG